TGCCATAGACTTGGATACGTACGACGAGGAAGTGCCACCTTATCTTTTAGCTGAGAATTACGAAAAATCAACGGAGATGATGATCGTTAACCCGAACGTCGAGAAAAAACCAACGGAGATGATAATCGTTAATCCGAAAGTCGACAGTACCGTCAATGCGTCGAAGTTTGCTCGCGCCGAACCTCGCCGGAGAAGAAATTCCTTCTCCGTTGAGTCCGTGAAGAAGGAGACGAAGAAGTCATGTTTTTGATTGATCGATGGCTTACCGTGTTACTTTCGGAGAATTGTGTTTAGATAATATATATATATAATTTTTTTTATTTGCTTCTTTATATATATAAGTGACTAGTAGTCTAGTATATATGCGTCTGCGAGGTTTTGGACTCTTTTAGTTTACGGAATCATGTACAAGTTACGTATTAGTGTGTTAGTTTCACGGTAGTGTGCTTTTTATATGTTGTTTTCTGGGCGTGTATTGTGCGATTCGAGATTATGCTTAGGTGAAATTTGATTATGAGATTTTTTTTTTAATTATAGACTAAGAAACATAACAAAAGACAATCTCTAGCTTTTTATATGGAACTAGAAACTTATTTCTTTTTTTTAATCAAATTTATCAAAAAAAAATTTCACTCGTACTAACAAGAGATGCTAACTAGAGAATCCTGAAGTTGAGGTTTTCCTTCTTTCTTTCTTTCCCTTTTTTTTTAAATGTTTTAACGAGAGAACCGCGCGGAGAGTGAACCCCGCCGTCTCATGAGGGTTGATGTCTCAAGCGTTAAAGCCTCAAATTTATAAAATTCAGAAAGAATTGTGCAAAAAAGATTTTGTAAAATTTCACCTAATTAAGAATCGTCGAAAAGAAGATGTAAAAAGCATTACATCTCACCAAACGTTAATCTAAATGATCGTCCAGGCTGAATTTGCAAGAACCGATTGAACCTCTACTCATGAGTAATTTTTATTTACTGTCTATTACATCACAAGCATAATAAGCGAACCGTACAGTCAGGTGCATGTTATTTCTAAAATAAACAGGGGGAAAAAGGAGAAAGCACTTCAGCACCAATCATTACCCAAATACAAGACATCAGCTATTAGTGACCAGAATTGGATGCTATTTTACAATGACGACGCTACCGGAGCTCATTGCACCTGAGATTTCAAAATTACTCAGCATGAATATGAGATCAATGTGATACTCTATTTGAACAGATGTTTCATTGTCTAAATGCAATAATAAACATGCTACTAACTTTTAATTACTCTGAGCGCGTCTAATTCAGTTTATAGGGTGGTACTGATCTGAAACTCGTTTTGGAGGAAGCTTCCGAAGGATGAAAAGCACAAGAGCAGATGGAAGAATCTCTACCAACTGAAGGGGGAAAAGAAAATTTAAAGAAGGAATAAGATTAATAAGGGAGAAGTTGATTACATTCATGGCGAAATTTCGAGTCAAATGTACTGACCATATAGAAGATAAAGTTCAGGACAGGATGTTCCAAGACATCAACATCAGCATCCTTGTCAAACGCAGAAATAGCGACCTGTAAAATTCAGGATAAATACTTTGCAGCAAACATTCATACATTACACGATTTATGAATAGTTACTGAATTGTGAATCTATTTGGTCTTTACACTTAATTTGTGCTAGGAGAACTTCGAGAGTCGCTACAATTGTTGCAACTGTGGTTGCATAAGCTTAATACCGGAGGTTTTTTTTAGTAAGTGCCCTTCGAGTAACCCATAACAATATTGCACAAAGGTATGCCAAA